CATCCATCCATCCATCCTTATAACCCAGAACATGCTGATGTTCCCTCAGATAATCTCTAACTCTGGATCCAACCTGCACTGAAATAGTTTTTCCTTCCTTTTGTCTGATTAATTCCTGTTTCTGTGCTGCAGATATTCTGTTGATGGCTTCCTGGACAAAAACAAGGACCTTCTGTTCCAAGACTTCAAGCGCCTCATGTACAACAGGTGTGAGTTCCCCTCATCTCTGACCCGTCCTCCTGATGCTTTAGCCCGTCCTGTAACTGGGTTCACTCCCTCGCCTTTTAGTCCTCCTTCTGTTAGTCTCACAGCTCTTTTTCCTCACAGTGCCAACCCGGTCCTGAAGGAGATGTGGCCAGATGGTCAGCTGAGCATCACAGAGGTCACCAAGCGACCTCTGACTGCAGGGACCCTTTTCAAGAACTCCATCGTGGCTCTGGTCGATAAGCTGGCCTGTAAGGTCAGTGCTTCTTTTCTTGTTGACGTCATCCTGTCCTCCTGGGTAAATGAGGCTCTTTGGATGCTGAGCATCTGTTTCATTCATGTTTGAAGCGAAGAGATGACCATGAATAAAGCCAGAGAGTAGAAACAGAAGTAAAAGAAGCTGTTAATGACCCAGTTTGATGGACTACTGGCCTCACTTTTCATTCTCCAGTTACTGAAACTACAAAAAAAGCCTTCGCCATCAAACATTGACAGTTCTAGGTGTTTATTCTGATTTCCTGGGTTTGATTCTTTGCTTTGGTCTCACCTCTCAGGAGGACGTTGTCCCAGATGTCTTGTCCTTCATCCAGATGCAGCTCTGCTAACCTCAGTCCTGCTGCCATCTTGTTTCCAAACAGCCAAACTGGTTCAGGGTCGTGACCTGTGACCTTTAACATTAACATTATTTCCTTGAGATGTTTTCCTCTGGGTAATAATCCGTCTCTCTGCTGAATGATGGACGGCCAGAAAAGGCATCCCAGGTCGAATGGCTGTCAGGTCCTGCAGCTTTAATTATGGTTTTAATTCAAATTAAAACATTGAACTCCTCTTTTAAATCCAGAGTTTTATATTGAATCTTATTATCCACCTCAGGGATGAAACTAAAGGGAAGCAATAGACATTAAAGTCGTTTTTACGGCTGCTTTAGTGGTTTTATATTCCAGAAAGTTTTGCTGAAAATTGACAGAAACGGCAGGAAATCAGCCATCCAACAATAACGTGTCCGTCACACGTCCTGCTGTCTGAGAGGACCTTTATTCCGGCTTGTTTTATCTTCATCTTGCCCTGCTGTGTGGAGGACGCAGAGCTCACCTCTCCTCTCCAGGCTGATCTCATCTGACGGACCAAAGTCTGACATTTCCTGCTGTTATTTAGGGCTGACCTGCTGTCAGCTGTTGTAGCTTTTCGTCTTGATGTTTCTGAGGTCAAGAAATGCAGGAAGCTCTTCTGGAGAGCTTTATTTTCATGCAGGTCAGGTTGGTGGAACACGGCGCTCTGCCGGGTGCACAGGTCTCTGTGCAGATGTTCCTCACGTCATTTCTCCCTCATACCTGCCAGGTTTTTTCCTCCATGTTGGTTGTTGTTGTTCCGTCTTCTGTGCGGTTTGATCTACAGCTAATTAAGCTGCAGAGCTGCATCTGAGATGAGGCTCAGCTGTAGCATCTGATGCAGGTCAGCGCGCTCAGCCTGAGCCTCGGCGTCTTTACAGCAGGGCTCCAGTTTATTTATGAACAAACAGCAGGGCTGGATGCGCTGGAAGACACTCAGCCTTCAGTTTTCTCACACTTTGTGAGGTTTTACTGCTTTTCCACATGTCTAACATCCTTGCTTTGCTTTGTGTGTTTTATTTCTTTAAGGAGCCGTACTACGTGCGATGCATAAAACCCAACGAGATGAAGTCACCGGTTCTGTTTGACGACGCGCGCTGTCAGCACCAGGTGGCCTACCTCGGCCTGCTGGAGAACGTGATGGTTCGCAGGGCCGGCTTCGCCTACAGGCAGCAGTACCCGCGCTTCCTGCAGAGGTGAGGCGCATGACCGACCTCAGTGCCGGCCCCAGCCTCTTTGGGGCCCTAAGCAGAATTTGACTTGGGGGCCCCCCTCCAGCCACGCAGAATTACCTAACCTAGAACATTATTGACACAAACGTCTCACTATAGTGTTATAGACAATATTATAAACCAGGGGTAACATATGAAGGTAGATTTGTTTCTTTATTATTCAATCAAAAAAAAAAGGTTGCTTCAATCAATAAATATATTTTCAATTAAAAAAATCTTCACCTCAATGAAAAAAAAACTTTTCAATCAAAGAAAAAAGTATTTGAATGCAAAAATATATTTGAGACTCAAAAAAGTACATTTGTACGGAGTGCCTAAAGGGACATGGAGGGAAAAAAGAAACTTTCGCCAGATCCCGCAAAAGTATTCCGGGATCTCGCAAAACTATTGCGTGATCTGGCAAAAGTATTGCAAGATCTCGCAAGAAATAAACTTTTGCAAGATCCCGCAATAGTTTTGCGAGATCTCATAAAACTATTGCGGGATCTGGCAAAAGTATTGCGAGATCCTGCAAAAGTATTGCGAGATCTCACAAAAAATAAACTTTTGCAAGATCCCGCAATACTTTTGCAAGATCCCGCAATACTTTTGCCAGATCTCGCAAAACTATTGTGGGATCTGGCAAAAGTATTGCCAGATCTCGCAAAAAATAAACTTTTGCGAGATCCCACAATACTTTTGCGAGATCTCGCAAAACTTTTGCCAGATCTCACAAAAGTATTGCCGGATCTGGCAAAAGTATTGCGAGATCCTGCAAAAGTATTGCGGGATCTGGCAAAAGTTTATTTTTTGCAAGATCTCGCAATACTTTTGCCAGATCCCGCAATAGTTTTGCGAGATCTCGCAAAAGTATTGCGGGATCTTGCAAAAGTAAATTTTTTGCGAGATCTTGCAATATTTTTGCAGGATCTCGAAATACTTTTGCCAGATCCGGCAATACTTTTGCGAGATCTCACAAAAGTATTCCAGGATCTCGCAAAAAATAAACCTTTGCGAAATCCCGCAATACTTTTGCAAGATCTCGCAAAAGTACTAAAAGTTATTTTTTTCCCCTCCATGTCCCTTTAGGGGCTTCGTACATTTGAAAACTGCTTTTCTTTAATTGAAAATATTTTATTTTATAGAAGTGCAGTCTTTTTTGTTTAAAGCAACTTTTTTAATTGAAGTAACGTTGTTTTTTGATTGGACCATATAATGGGTGGGACATTTGTGTCTTTATTATTCAATTAAAAAAGAAGTTGCTTTAAACAAAAAAGACTGCACTTCTATCAAATAAAAAATTTTCAATCAAAGAAAAGCAGTGGTTGGCAGTGGGCTTTAGGCTGCCCTGCAAGGCTTTAAACCTGGGTTTAACCGGAGACTAAGCCATTCTCCAGCACATATCAAGGAGCTCATTTTGAGCCTGGATCCAGATTTATTGTTGATTCTGTTCATGGTGGAGAATCCTGCTTCACAGCAGCAGGTTGAGCCAAACATCCTCTAAATGTGCAGGGTCATCTTTGAGCACGCCATTTCACTTTTCTTTCACCAGCTCAGAAAACTTTTCTTTAGTTTCATGTATTATTTCTATAATCACTAATTGAATCCGTCGCTCCTCAGGTATAAAATGACCTGCGAGTACACCTGGCCCAACCACCTGATGGCCACGGACCGGGAGGCTGTGGAGGCCATCATCACGCAGCACGGTTTCCAGGGCGACGTGGCGTACGGCCACACGAAGCTGTTCGTGCGAACGCCGCGGACTCTGTTTACCCTGGAGCAGGAGAGAGCCACCCTCATCCCCATCCTGGTGCTCTTCCTGCAGAAGGTGAGCCCTCACACCTTCATCACCATCATCATCATCATCATCAGGGTCACTTCAGATCACCAATATCAGTGCAGTTTTTAAACCTGTGCTTGTTTTTAATGAGGAAGCACCAGTCAGACGATGCAGACCTGATTTACTCAGTAAAGTTTTATAATCTGAGAAAATTTATTTCCGTTTTGATTCAGTCTAATTATAAAATATAAATAAATGACTCACCTGCCGGTTTGAATCTTTGTACCAATAATTGGTAAATGAATGAGCTTCAGACCACAGTGACGTCTGTGACTCGGTGGATCATCGTTCCCTCCTCGCCTTCCTGACTTACTTTGAAGTATTCCCAACACGGAAGGATTTAGGAAATTTGGGGCCCTC